CCTAAACCCCATAAGGGTTTAGGGTTTAGGGCTACCTGGAGCACAAACTTTCTGAACATTTGGTTCTAGTCTTTGAACGCCCTCCCGTCCTCCGAAGGCTGACATGGCGTAGCCGGTGCTCGGATAGCCGTAGGAGCCCATGTAGGAGCTGTACGGGTTGCCTGATACTGGGTTCTGGATGTAATTTAGGTTACCATAATAGGGGTCTATAGCAATTTCGGATAATATGGTTAACTTAGAATTAAATCCCTTAACAAGAACCCAGGATACGGTTTTAGGGTTGAACTTCCTGTAAAGGAGGGCAGTGAAAGTGTAGGGGTTAGGAAGCAGCTCAATGCTCTGAGTCTTGGGTTTGAACTCGGTTACAGGACTCTCAGACATCATGGCTGCACATGGTCAGCCAACAAAGGACCATAAATCCTCAACCCAAGCTACCCGAGGTGCCTGGCGACGGGAGGAGGGGTGCCCTAGCAGGACCGAAAGACTCCGAATGCAATCAAGCTGCTGTAGCTGGAGCTACCCCCAGCGATGTAAGTACGGCGCCTGCGGACGCTGCTGTACCCGTAGCCCGTCGCGGCGCTAGCAGAGCTTCGACGCCGAGGACTCAATCCGTAGCCTCCGGCAGGGCCTGGCGCTGGAGCCATGATGCCCCGGCGCCTTGGGCTTCCATAAGGGCCTGCGGCGCCTGCCGCACCGGCACCGGCGGCTGCAGGCGCCGCGATGCGACGGCGTGGGCTCCCAAAGCCGGTGGATGCCGCGGGGTATGTAGGTGTTGAGATCCGGCGCCGTGGGGAGAACCAGGTGGTGGGGTTTAGGTTGATACCACCTCCACCACCGCCTCCGGTCCGACGACGGGAACCAGAGGACATGCGCCGCCGCATGCCCCACAACTCTCTGGCGGAAACATTGGTGTCTTCTGACCCCAAGCCAGACAGCCGCCGGTATGTACCCGCATGCAAGGTGATTCCGTTTGACTGGTCGGCCACCATCTTGCCAGTGGCATCCTTGGCAATGAAGCTCAGGCTTACAGAGCTCTTCGCGGTACGGAAGATGGTGAAAATGTGTGGCTCATACTCGGAACTTGTTGGCTTCTCAATCGTCACCGTTGCCGATCCTTTGCCGGCTGGGCACACGACGGAGAGGGCATCGACCAAGTGCCACACACCCGAGAAGCCGCCCTGTGCACTGCACCGAAGGAGGAAAGTCAACCACGCCAGTAGAAAGAATCGAAACGACATGGCTTTGTGTGGGACCTAAACCCTAAGGATGACCTTTCGAGCCACTAAACATGTTCATGCTTCTGGCATCCAGTCGAGTCAGGGATCTATACAAATTTACTCCGAAGCAGACGGTCTTGGATAGCCTCCCCAGTACGCACTGTTTCAGAAGGTCTCGAACCACCACCACCACCACCACCACCAACCCCAAACGCTAAACGCCAAACCCTAAACCCTAAACACAAAAACCCTAAACCCTAAACCCTAAACCCACCATCACCACACAGTAGAACTGTGCGAGACACTTGCACGCGGGACCTTGCACTCTACAGCCCAGCACCGGGTCGGAGCGGCATCGAATGCCGATTTCCAAGGCTTCACCCATACCAGGACCCTCCTTGTACCCTCAAATAGTGGTATATGGTCCCAAATAAGGGGTATTTAGGGTCTAATGGAGGGTAGATGGAGGGTCTAGGTAGGCTCCATTGTAGTTCCTTTTTGGGGGGTTACCTTATAGGATCCTAAATATAAGCCACAAAAAGGAACTACAACGGAGCCTATGGCCCAGGCCTACTAGCTGAGACGGGCACCCCAATTGTAGCACAGGTTGCCCATCTTGCTGTACCGCTGCACACCTGCTCGCATTGAGCGGTTTAGGGTTTAGGGTTTATAGGGTCTAGGGTTTAGGATTTACGGTTAAGGGCAGCAGTGCAGCTGAAAACGAGCCGAAAAAAAGAGCTTGTAACGAGGTGGGAAAGAAGTCCTCAAGAAAAGAGCTATTATACCTTGAGTGTCCAAAGTGAAGCCTTCAGGAAATAACGTGTAACATGGTAGAACATATAGTATTGTATGATGTAATGCAGGACAATTTACATAGCATAATATAAGAAGCAGACTATACTGTATTGTATATTATGGCAAAAGATAATACAGTAAACCCTTGCCTCACAAACTGGACTAGTGGCACATCTGCCTACGAATCGACCGACAGTAGTGGTCAACGGGGACAGGGAAGCTGAAACGAAAGGACACCACAGCATATTATACTGTAGCTGGCTTCTCTATATGTATACATATATACATACATATATATATATTTATATTTATATTTATATATACATATATATATACATATATATATATATAACATGATGTATGATATTACATTTCAACGTACGCACTATAAATTGCAAGAACCCGGCGCCTGCCTCACCCCGGAAAGCAAGAAATGAGAGGAATTTATCAAGAGGACAGGTGCCCAATGCCCGGCCTTCGATACGAAACACATACGATCGCAGATACGGGTACGAGCATTGACTAGCACGAACCGGGAAAACAGGATCTGACAGGCTATAGTATGCCCTGTGGCCGAAAACCCTCAAGCCTGCAAGCTTGCAAAAAGAAGCAAAGTATCAACCCGCTTAAAGCTTTGCCGTGGCAGGGGCTGGGGTTGTGTAGGTTTTGCAGAATCGTCGGCATAAAGTTTCTTCCAGCAGCACTCAAGGAATCTGGTTTGAATCGCTAACTTTCACCGGTTTCTTGAATTACAAATCACACTGAATTTTTTTCTGCGACCTCAGTGTACGTCTTTTTCTGTCTTTGCAGTAGGACACTTCGATCTACTGCATGTCTGTGGCAGTCCTGACTGCAGCCGACCGGGACGGTGGCGGAAATCATTTTCAGACTGGCGGAGCGCTTGTTGTAGCAGCAGGGTGCTGTTTGTGGCATCCACAAAGCGACCCCAACTTCGCAAACTACCCGCACAGACCCTCCACTCTACGCCCCAAAGCTTCAAGTCCTTAGGGTCTTCTAGGGGTGTGGTGGCAGCTCAAATAAAGATCCCCAAAGCCAAAGCCGCATAGACACGAAACCCACCAAGCCCTGAACCCCAAACCCCAGAGTCCTAGAGGTTTGTTCATGTAAATTGGCCCACGTCCAGCCTGTGTAGTTCGAGCCATACCTGGGTGTTCCGTTGCTCGGAGCTACAAACACAGCACGCTGCGACGTCGGGGGATTGGGGTGGGAGGGCCTTCAAGGATTGGATGTTTGACCGTTCTTGCCGTTTCGGGCTTAAGGCGCTTGCGCTGAGCTTGGGAAAAAGCATGTCGGCCCTGGTGCGACTGCAACGAGTTTTAGGTCCTATAACGAGTCAGCCACGGACCGTTCTAGGGAGCCCTGCACGCACAAACAAGCCTCAATGGCTCAAAGCCTGAACCCCACACAGCTGAACAGCGACTCGCATTCCGCCAAAGCTCGGGTGATGGTACAACCCGAGACCTTGTCCTGACTATAACCAATTAGTCAGGCTTCTTTCTTACTGCTGTAATGCAAGAACCCGAGCAAAAAACACAAAAACACGCAAAAAGGCACAAATATTCGGATAACACTATGTAGGATGATTATGAAAACTCCGTATGAGACAGCAGATGGGCACATCCCATCAAAGCGGTTCTGAACAGACTAGTCCGGAAAACTCAGCTGCTTTCCCCAACCTCTACACGCTGAACCCTCAAACCTTCAATCCTCGGAGCCCGAAAGGCCTAAAACCCGAAAGACCCTTAAAAATTAAAGCCCTAAGTTAAGGCAAAACGCCCGAAAAAAAAACAAAAAAAAACTAAACCCTAAACCCTTAAACCGCCTCAATCGGTATTTCCGCCCAGCCACTCGCCCGAGAGCTCTTCGGAAGCCGGGGTTGTCTGGCTGACGGTATTTTCGATCAGCACCTCGGGCTTTTGGGGGTTTTAGGGCTAAGGGTCCAGGGTTTTTTGGGTTTACGGGGCTTGGGGGCGGTCTGTAGAACCTTGAGCCCGCACCCCCAATAAACCCTAAATCGCGGCTTCATGGTAATGTATGGGCTCCGGGTTTACGAAGAGGGAGGGTATTGTCTCGAACAAAGTTATGTGCTTCGGTGTCGCCGTGGTCATCCTGCACCAATCAACTTTGGTGTGGGAGCCCTTGTGGTGTAGAGTTAGTTAGGGCTACGAGGCATCTGAACCGGACGTACTTGCGAAAGCTGCACACTTGTTGAGTTTAATCTCCGACGTCAAGTTCTGAACAAAAACAAAATTCTGCTCCTAAGAATCGCCCCCAACTGAAATCCTTAGATGCGTCATGTACCGTGGAAACGAAAGTCCAAACCGGAAACCCTACGCAGACTACGCCCCAAATCCAGCACATCCCAATCACTCCAAGTTGCTGCGGCCGTGGTAAGGGCACCCACGACCTCAACCACACCGGTGGTTTAGGCTTTAGGGTTGAGGGTTTGATTTGGGCAGGGTCGAGGGGCTTCCTCTGGTCTTGCTGTGGCGGGGACGAGGATTCTGAGGCTGGGCTTTGGTTTAAGTGGCCAGCTGTGCAATTGGTGCTCACCGCGAGGAAATATGGAACAGCCAACAACTAATGAAAAACACAGAAGCAAAACGAGTGTGTGCACAGATATATAGCGACGTACCTACACACGCACATACATACGTACATACATACATACATACATACATACATACATACATACCTACATACATATTTACATACATGCATG